CCCAGGAGTTAAGCTGACACAGACAGGACCAGGAAGAGGAGATGTTCCTCAACGCTAACGTATCTTAATGTATCTTCTGAAAGTTAATCACATCCACTTATCCCACTATCATTTGCTTAAATACACGATAGATACTCAGTTAAAAAAAGCCACCACCAATCACTGCAGAACATTTCAAAACCTTGGGCTTCTAATGAAGGTGTAGGAAATGAGATTTAATTTGTGATTCTTTAATTCTTAAATGTTTTGACAGCTCATGAAATAAATGATTTTATTCATTGATTCTTCGTCAGATCTGCTGTCACCGCCCTAATCAGCACCCATCGTGGTGACATATGTCAGGCCGACGTGAAAGGCAGGGTGTCCGTGATAAACGCTGGGGTGCATGTGTCTGTAGGCCTCAGTCACGCTGGCATGCACACATGTACTCACGTGTGCACACACAAGCACACAGGCATGAACACATGCTCACACAGACATGTGCACACACTCTCCCATGCATGCATACCCACATTCAGATATATTCACACACATGCACACATATGTGCTTGCATGTACAAATACATGTATGCTCACGTGGACACACACAGTACATACCCATGAACATATACTCACTCATATATGCCCATACATATTCACATGTGCGCACACACACATACTGGTCATGTGCATGTGACTTTCACTTTGGGACATTTACCCACATTCTCTGGGGAGGGGAGGCTGGGAGACACCACAGAACCGGGGCTCCAGGACCTGGGCTCACATCTCCTCTCCACTGCGTGTTCACCCACAGACCTCGCCCAAGTCCGTCTCTCTAAGTTTGTTTCCTCAGCTGGAAAATGGGAATGGCAGGAAGAGCATCGCTGCGCCATTACTGAGCAGAGCAAGTAAAACGACGTCAGTGAAAGGCCCTTGGCAAGTAGGAACACACCTGGAAGGGACAAACACCAACCACGGCTGGGTGAGAGTGAGGGCTGCGTGACTCGGACGAGGCTGAGGTGTGCAGAAGGGAAGCCGGGTTCGGGATGATGTTTCAGTCCCAGTGGGGCCTGGGAGGAGGAAATGTGTCTCCGCTGCAGCTGCAGCGTCACAAGAGGGGATCACACGCACGACACCCCACTCCTGGCTCTGTGCACTTGGGTGGGTGGGTGCCCCAAAGGGAGCCGTCTTCCAGGAGGCCGACTCACATGCAGATCACAGGGTGATGCAGCATGTGCACACGTGTGTACACGTGTGTAGGTATATACATGCATGTGTGCGTATGTGACAGTGTGTAACTGTCGATGTGCAAGTATATGATTGTAACTGCATGCCTGTAGGTGTATATGTGTGTGTGTATATGTGCACAAAAACGCGTCTCTGTGCACATGTGTAACACTGCGCAGAGGCACACACACACACATGTGTATGTGACTGTGTGTAATGGTGGATGTGCATGTATATGAGTATATCTGTATGTGTGCATGTGAGTGTACATATGTGCATGTGTGGACATATATGTACGCGTGCATCTGCATGTGTGTAAATGTGTGCAGGTGTGTGAATACAAGCACATGTAGGAGTATGCATGTATACATGTGCATGTGTGTATGTGGGTGAGTGCATATGCACACATGTTTACATGCGCACACATGTGCATATGTGTGTGTGGTTGCAGGTGTGTGTGCATATGTGGATATGTTTGTGGATATGTGTTTGTGCATGTGTACATGTGTTTGTGTGTGTGTGTACGTGTGTGTACATGTATGTATATTTGTACACACATGCTCCCAGCTATCCAAAGGAAGCTGTGGGCTGTGCCTAACTTCTAGGAACACTTCATGCCTTCGCTAACACTGAAGGCAGAGCAGGAGTAAGGAAACCTCCCTCAGCTACAACACCGTGAGAAATACATGTTCTCTCTGCACCTGAAGAAACGCAGTTGCCTGGGAGACAGTGGGAAAGATGGAGCTCACGAGATTTAACGCAGGGCCACGCCAGTTTTCGGTGGGACCCTGTGACGGCTGATTTCATGCGACTTCAAAGACCTGGCTGGGCTCTGGTGCCCAGCCGTTTGCTCGAACGTGAGTCTCGGTGTTGCCAGGAAGGTATTCTGTGAATGAGATGAGCATCCACAATCAGCGGACTGTGAGTAAAGGAGACAGCCGCCATCGTAGGGGTGGGCCGCATCTCATCCGTTGAAGGACTTTGGAGCAAA